CAAATGCTTTTTTAGCATCTATTGATATGATCATGTGGTTTTTATTCTTCATTTTGTTTATGTGGTGTATTACATTTATTGATTTGTGAATATTGTACCAGCCTTGGTCATGGTGAATAATTTTTTTGATGTATTGCTGGATTCGATTTGCTAGTATTTTGTTCAGGATTTTGGCATCTATGTTCATCAGGGATATTGGCCTGTAGTTTTCTTTCTTTGTAATGTCTTTTTCTGGTTTTGGAATTAGAATTATGCTGGCTTCATAAAACAAGTTTGGAAGTCTTCTTTCTTCTTGGATTTTTTGAAATAGTTTGAGGAGGAGAATGGGTGTTAGTTCTTCTTTGAATGTTCGGTACCCCCCCCCCCCCCCCCCCCCCCGTGAAGCCATCCGGGCCCGAGCTTTTGTTTGCTGGGAGAGTCTTGATTACATCTTCAATTTCTTCAGTTGTTATTGGTCTGTTCAAGTTTTTTATCTCTTCCTCGTTCAGTTTTGGGAGACTGTGTGTTTCTAGAAATTTGACCATTTCGCTTAGATTGTCGAATTTGTTGCCATATAGTTGTTCATAGTAGCTGTTAACAATCTTTTGTATTTCTGCAGTGTCGGTTGTTATTTCTCCTCTTTCATTTCTGATTTTGTGTATTTGGGTTCTCTCTCTTTGTTTCTTGGTGAGTCTAGCTAAGGGTCCATCAACCTTGTTCATCTTTTCGAAAAACCAGCTCTTTGTTTCATCGATCTTTTGAATTGTTTTTTTGGTCTCTATGTCATTTATTTCTGCTCTGATCTTTACTATTTCCTTCCTTCTACTTGCTCAGGGGTTTTATGTTTGTTTGTTTGTTTGCTTTCTAATTCTTTAAGTTGTGAGGTTAGATGGTCAATTAGAAATTTTTCTTGTTTCTTGAGGTAGGCCTGTAGTGCTATGAACTTCCCTCTCAGAACAGCTTTTGCTGCATCTCATAGATTTTGTGTTGTTGTGTGTTCATTTTTATTGGTTTCCAGGAAGTTTTTAATTTCTTCCTTGATCTCCTCGGTGACCCATTCATTGTTCAATAGCATGCTATTTAGCCTCCATGTGTTCAAATGTCTTTGCATGTTCTTGTTGCAATTGATTTCTAGTTTCATGCCATTGTGATCTTAGAAGATGCTTGATATGATTTCAATCATCTTGAACTTGTAGAGATTTAGTTTGTGTTCTATTATGTGGTCTATCTTTGAGAATGTCCCATGTGCACTTGAGAAGAATGTGATTTCTGTAGTTTTGGAGTGTAATTCTCTGTAGATATCTATTAAATCCATTTGGTCTAGTGCTTCATTTAGAGTCTCTGTTTCCTTGCTAATTTTTTGTCTAGAGGATCTATCCAGTGGTTTCAACGGGGTGTTGAAGTCCCCTACTATGATTGTATTGCTGTCGATTTCTCCTTTGAAGTTCAGAAGATTTTTAATATATTTTGGTGCTCCTATATTGGGTGCATATATGTTTATCAAGGTTATATCTTCCTGTTGGATAGATCCTTTCAATATTATGTAGTGGCCTTCTTTGTCTCTAGTTATGGCCTTCATTTTGAAATCTATTGTATCAGATATGAGTATTGCTACCCCAGCTTTTTTTTGCTTTCCATTTGCTTGGAAAATTTCTTTCCATCCCTTAACTTTCAACCTACGTGTGTCTTTTGTTGTGAGGTGGGTCTCTTGTAAACAACATATATGTGAGTCTTGCTTTCTTCTTTTTTTTTTTCTCTTTGGTACGTGCCCCTAGATGCTAGGGCCTAGTGGGAACTGAACCCGGGACTCTCTGGTCCGCAGGCCGATGCTCCAACTGCTGAGCCAAACCAGCCAGGGTGAGTCATGCTTTCTTATCCAATCAGTTACTCTGTCTTTTTATGGGAGCATTTAATCCATTTACTTTTAAAGTGATTATTGATATGTACTTATTTATTGCCATTTTTGTTTAGTGTGGTTCTATTTTTCTTCCTATTTCTTCTACTAATTACAGAAGTCCTTTTAACATTTCTTGCAGTGCTGGTTAGCCTTTTTTTTTTTTGTCTGTTAAGCTCTTTATTTCATCTTCTATTTTGAATGATAGCCTTGCTGGGTAGAGTAGTCTTGGATTCAGATCCTTGTTTTTCATGACCTTGATAACTTCATGCCATTCCCTTTTGGCCTGTGGTGTTTCTTTTGAGAAGTCAGCTGATAGCCTTAGGGGGGTTCTTTTTTAAGTAACCTGTTGTTTACCTCTTGCTGCTTTTCAGATTCTCTATTTGTTTTTAATTTTTGGCATTTTAATTACTATGTATCTTGTTGTGGGCCTGTTTGGGTTCTTCTTACTTGGGGCTCTCTGTGCTTCTTGAATTGGAATGCCTTCTTCTTTCACTAAGTAACAGAAGTTTTCTGTCACTATTTCTTTGAATATATTTTCTAACCCTTGCTCATTTTCTTTTTCTTTGGGGACTCCTATGATGCAAATATTATTATGCTTCCAGTTGTCCCACAGTTCACTTAAGCTGTCTTCCTGTTTTTTAACTGTTTTTTCCTTTTGGTTTTCTGATTGGTTGATTTTTTTCTACCCAGTCTTCTAATTCACTGATCCGGTCCTCAGCTTCCTCTACTCTGCTTTTTAGACCTTCCAATGTGTTCTTTATTTTTGTTATGTCATTTTTCATCTCTTCTTGGTGGTTCTTAATTTTCAGTTGGTTTATTTTCAGCATCTCTATGTCCTTAGTCATGCTGTTGAGCTTCCTCAAGATCATGGCTCTGAATTCTAGCTCTGTTAACTTGCCTAACTGCTCCACATTGATCTCATCTTCAGTGGAGGTCTCTTGTTCTTTCATTTACCTTTTGTTTCTGTGTTTCACCATTTTGGCTATCACAGTGGGCTTTGGAGCCTGCCAAGTTTTCCCTGTGGGTATTGGTGTTCTGCTGTTTGTGGCTCCCTCTCCTGGGTTTAGATTACCGGGGGAGATCCCACGTTAATCACCACTGTCAAGTCTTACTTTCCTGGTTAAAGTTGCTAGCCCAGGAAAGGTACTGTTATCCTCTAGCTTTTTGCCTGGAGGCTAGCAGTCCAGGTTACTTGAAGAGTTTTGAGTTGTCAGTTGATTGAAAAACTCCCTCAGGTGCTCAGGGTAAGAGGATTTCCCAAAGGTGGGGCAGATGCTGGTTGTTAGTGAGCCTCAATTAGCATTTCAATGGCCCACAGGGTGGGGTTCGATCTCTGAGGGAGGGGCTGCTGCCTCTGCTCAGAGCCCTGGGAAGGAGCAAGATAGCCACCATCCTGCGTGGTTGCAACTCAGCAAAAACTCTGAGTGCCCTCCAAATCCTGTGTCCCCACAGTTTCAGTCCAGTCTGCCCTCTATCTGCCAGAGCCCAAGGTGAGTGGCTGTGGCTATTTTAGCATCTGTCCCGGGTCTGCGCTGTGGAGCCGCTTGGGAGTGTAACCCGAGGGTGCTGCTCCCAGCTAAGGCTGTTGCTGTCTGTGGGCTCCCAGCCCCCCTCTCACGCCTCCGCAGTCCTACCAGAATCGAGTCAGTGTCCCTGGTTATATGATCCTTGCAAGCTGCTTTTCTGTTGCTTTTTCCCGTCGATTTGTCTGTGTTTTAGTTGTAATTCCAGTTTGGTCCTGGGAGACGGTCTGTGTAGCTTCCGTTCACTCTGCCACCATTTTGAATCGCTATTTTTATTAATTAATTTATTTTTGTTACAGATGTTTCTCTTTTTCTCCCCATTGACACCTTCCTCTGATCCTGCCCCCCCCCCCATAGTATTGGTGTCTATGTCCATTTGTTATGTATATATGCACGTTAAGTTTTTTGGTTTATCTCTTCCCTTCCCCCCACATCCCCTCCTCTGAGGTTTGTCAATCTAATCCCTACTTCTATGTCTCTGGGTCTATTTTGTTCATCCATGTATTTGTTTATTATATTCCACAAATAAGTTAGATCATTTGGTATTTGTCTTTCTCTGACTGGCTTGTTTCACTTAGCATAATACTCTCCAGGGCCTTCCATGCCATCTCAAAGGTTAAGAGATATTTATTTTTTACAGCTGCATAGTATTCCATTGCACATATGTACCACAGCTTTTTTATCCACTCATCTAGTGATGGACACTTGTGCTGTTTCCAGATCTTAGCAACTGTAAATAGTGCTGTTATGAAAATAGGGGTACATCTATTCTTTCTGATTGGTGTTTCAGGCTTCTTAGGATATATTCCTAGAAGTGGGATCACTGGGTCAAATAGCAGTTCAATTTTTAATTTTTTGAGGAAGCACCATATTGTTTTCCATAGTGGCTACACCAGTGTGCATTCCCACCAGCAGTGTACCAGAGTACCCTTTTCTCCACACCCTCACCAGCATTTGTTGTTTGATGATTTGTTGATGGCAGCCATTCTGGCAAGTATGAAGTGAAACCTCATTGTCATTTTAATTTGCATCTCTCAGATCAGGAGTCTTTAAATAAAGCCTTTTTATCATCCTTATAGCTTCCTTTGCAGAGGCCATCTGAGTTGACAGGTGAGAACACTCAGGGGGGATTATCATATCTGTGAAAATGTACAATCATTCCTTAATGTCATCACATCTTCAGCCTTATAACCTTTAAAAAAATGTTTGATTTGGGATCCAGTATGATACTGCAGTTTGTTGATATGTCTCTTTCCCTTTTCATGGAGGTGTCCTATATGTTTTTTACCTTAAGTTTTTTGTTTTTGTTTTTGATGAAGAAACTGGATAGTTGGTACCATGCAGCTTCCCAGTCTAGATTGTGGAGATTGCAACAGACTAGGACTTTAAATTCTGGCAGAAATGAGGAGTGTCCCGTGCTCCTTATTTGTTGGGTGGTAAGCATGTTTCCTGTGGTCTGATCCTTGAGATGATTTCCTAGATGTGGAATTGTTGAGTCAAAAGATGGGCATAAATGAAAAGGTTTTGATAAACATCAGCTACCTTGCTTCTAAACTCCATGACCATCAGAAATTGATTTCCATGTGGCTTCTGCATTCCAGGAACTGTGGCCACATCCTGCTGGAGAGCATCTCAGACCGTTCTGGTGCCTCAGCACCATGGGAAGCAGGTGCCTGCCCCTGCTCTCAGGTGAGTGGGACAAAGAATTTCCTCTTCTCCCCATGACCCCATGCCCCAGCTTTGGTTGATTTTCCACATTTGACACTTTCTCCAGAAATGACCGTGCACCTGTCCTATTAGAAACTTTCGAACCTCTTGGTTGCTGCTCTACGAAGTGTTGAAGGCCCAGAAAACCTTAGCATATTGTTCTTGGATTCCCAAAGAAATAACCCAGAGGACTGGATGTGAAAGGCAGGGGTTTATTAGGACTTACATTTGCACTGTGGTGGCCCATGCACTGGTGGCGGCTGACCAGTGAAGTTACTGCCACACCGGCTGCCACTGGTAAAGTTGAATCTCCAAGTCCCACCTGGCCTGTGGACCCACTGCACCGGGGCAGCTGGCCAGTGCTATTGTTTCACACCACCCAGACTTTCCTAACACAATGTTTTATAGAGTACAGAAAATAGAAAAACAGGGCACGCAGGGGGAGGGGGATATATTTTTGCGAAAGTTGTGGGAGATCAAAATTGGTACCTGTTTCCCTGACGGAGGAGCTGGCCAGGCTCTGAAGGTGTCACAGTTCAATTACTGATGGCCATCATCTTCCCGCAGGATGGGAGGGGGAGTCGGAGCATGGGAAGGGCCCATGTTCCTGTTTACCATACAGGTGCCTTCCCCCAAAGCAGAACTGAGACAAAGACTTGGGTGTAAGCAGGTCCCAGGAGGCACAGGGAGGGAGTGCGGGGATGGAGAAGAGAATGAAGAGCATGTTAATGAGGGGTTACTGCTGGGTAAGTGTCACTCAGGCTTTATGTAATATGCTTTTGAGGGCCAAGAAGTCTGAGCTATTCATCCTTGAGTCCTCATCTTGAAACTGCACAAAATGGCCTGTGACCAGGTCCGGCTCTCTCTGTCTCCATAATAGTCAAGCTCGTGAGACACGTGTTGAGGTGAAGATGGGAGACTTTTCTTTTATTTTCTTTTTGTTAATCCTCAGCAGCAGGATGTTTTTTCCATTGACTTTTAGAGAAAGTGGGAGGGAGGGAGGAAGAAGGAGAGAGAGAGAGAATCATTGATGTGAGAGCGACACATCGATTGGATGCCTTGAATTGCTTGACAGGGGAGAGGTATTGAACCTGCAACCCAGGTATATGCCCTTGACCGGGAATCAAACCCTTGACCCTTCAGTGCTCTGACTGATTCTTTAACCACTGACCCACACTGGCCAGGGCCCTTGGATACTTTTCTTGTCCTCAAAAACCATCTCACCCCCTCATTGCAGGTGGGGGTGGTTATTAAGGGGAAGAGTGAAGCAGAACAAAGAGATCATGGGGGAGGGGCTGTATGGGAATGAAAAGCACCGCTTCTCCTGGGAAGGGAAATCTAGGAAGGAGAAAGGGCTGAGGGAGTGTCACTTCCCAAGGTTTTCTCTCTGCATTGTCCAGTCTGCATTATCTCTCAGAACTTTGTAGTTCTTATTGCTGACTTTTGTGGATTTTTGCGGCTGATGCCAAGCATTCCCTCTTCCTCCCAAAAGAGCCTTCTCTTAAGCTGTGAAAAAGAAGCTCAATAAGCCCCGCCAGTGTGGCTCAGTGGTTGAACATCCACCCATGCACCAAAAGGTAGATGGTTTGATTCCCAGTCAGGGCACATGCCCGGATTGCCCCAGTGTGCAATCTATGTTGATGTTTCTCATTTTTTTTTTTGAGGCAGTGGCAGGCAGCTGCTTCGAACTTTATTTGAGAAAAACAACATAAATGTATTAAAAGAGCATACAGACTGACGGGTGAGGATGGTCAGTGATTGCTATTGGGGGATTTGAAGCAGGGCAAAGGCCTTTATTTGGCTGTAGGCTGCTTGGACTTCCCAGCTTCTGGGCCCCTAAGCTGGGCACGAGCCTCGAAGGTGACAGGGATGGTGATCTCTGCTGACTGGTTGGCTGGCTGGGGCGTCGGGGCCTCCATGGTGAGCGTGCCCTCAGGGGACAGGGAAGAGGACACCAGGGTGGGGTCCACACCAGGGGGAAGCGTGTATTTTCGAGTGAAGCACCGGGAAATGTAGCCATGTTCATCCTGTCTCTCTTCATGCTTGCCGGTGATCTCCACCACACCTTCCTTGGTCTTGACCATCAGCTTCTAGGGGGCAAAGCGGTTGACGTCCAGGGACACCTGCCAGCAGTCGGTGTGTGTGTGTGTGTGTGTTTGTGTGTGTGTGCTGATCTCCCAGACGCCCCTGCTGAGTTGTCGGCTGAGCGTGCGGCTGTCGGCGGGCTTGGCCACCGCCGGGTGCCCTCCACGGAGGCTGCGGTTAGCGGGTGCATGTAGCCCGGCCAGCCGCTGTGGCTGAGACACTGCGACCATTCCTCGGGCAGCCGCGGCCTCCCGAAGGCCTGCTCGAAGAGCCGGCTGTGGCTTGGGTACCAGTCACCGAAAGGGTCCCAGCTAGGGCTCCGCAGGGGCGAGAAGGGCACGCGGCGCTCGATCATGCCTGCTCGGTTCTGCGCTTCTGGCTCAGGTTTGGAGAAAAAACCGCATTGTTTTTAGCTCTCACTTCCTCTCTCTCCAAATCAATTATATATATATGTATATATGATAAGAAAGAATAACACAGGGTTTTACAAACATACTTTTAAGAAACCAGAAGGTTGGCTGCAGCCTTAAGACAAACAGAATGCATAGCCAGCCTCCTTATTGCTTAATTGGAATGTTAATTTGTAGTTATAATTTCCCCATTCTCAGGCTTGATCTTGTTTTGTTATGAAACAAGAACTCTTGATTAGAAGCAAAACGTTTAGCATCAAGCAAGGACATTTCCAAAGGCTTAGATACTGCCCTACTACATTTACTAAAACAGCAGGCAATTACTGGAATACACAATATATTGAAAGGAGGATAAAGAGTATGGTTAATTCAACCTTTAGAATGCCTTCTAAGACAGACCTGATTCCATTCGGTATCCATGAAAACAGAGAAGAAAACTGATCTGCAGTTCCTTTACCCATTCCTTCAAACAGAGGCGTATGGTTGCCCAACATTTACTGCAGCCATGTAGTCTGCTGCCAATGAATCTTGGCGACACTGGTTTCTACCTGGGAAGAGGTGTTAATATAAATACAAGAAGAATTATTAGTTATACAAATGCCTCTCTGTTCAGCTAAAATATAGTCTAAGGCTATACAGTTATCTAGCATTATGTTCGCTAAGGAATCTAAAGATTTCTGTAGATTGGCAATTGAAGTAGCAGTTTCATTTGCCTTAATTATTACTTCTTTGGAGAGATTCCATAGGAAATGTTGATGGGCTGCTATTCCCTCAAAGGAAAAAGAGAATATCCAAAGAAGTATTGGTTTCCATCAGACATGCCTCCCAGGAGGTCTCTCTTACTTTGTTGGAGTAGTTTAAGAGTGCTACTCCCATGCTGTGTCTCCTGTGGGTGAACAGTCAAGGGAGTAACTAGAGTTCCAAGGAAATATTGGCTGGAGTTTGTTTTGCTCCACAGGCGGGGATAGGCCCAGTGGGGTTTTTCCACCCCATTATACAAATGCTTTATATACTATTACAACTACAGCCATTGTTTAAATGATGTATTCGCTCCTCCAAGCTTCTGAAGACTTGAAAAATAAATTTGTGTCATCAGAATACATTTGCAACTGCAGGTCCTGAAATGCTTACAAAATCACGCTAAAAGTACACAATGAAAATAGCAATATGTGATATTTTATATATATTTTTTCTCTTACATGGCAGCCAGTTATCACACTGGCGTGAAAAGTAGAAGTTTCCACAAATCAGCTTTAAGTGAAGAAAGGAACAAAACGCAAAACATTCTGATTCACACAGACAGCTAAAATATCCTTAAACATGCAATCAGTTGAACATTTACGAGACATTTTTAGGAGCACTAAGAATTCAATATACCAGTTACTTCAGAAACAAAACTGAGTATTTATTTTGCTCTTTAAAACCCTATAACACGGCAAAGCAGAGATTTCAAATCCAAATGAATAGTATTTCAAAGTATGTTTCTATCAGTACTTGGGTAAACACACAAAAATATGACATGTTAAAAACTCTTAAAGTATATTGGTTACCCATGATTACTGAAAATTTTCAAACTCACATTTTTCATGTGCATGGCAAATTTCCAAGCCAAAGGGTTATGAAAAACATCGGAACTTAGACCTAACGTTTTCCATATTTAGAATTAGTTTTCCTTTTTCCTTTGTTTTTACTGATTTTTTAGAGAGAGGAAGGGAGAGAGAGAGAGAAAGATCTATGTGAGAGAGAAACATCGATTAGCTGCCTCCTGCACGCCCCTTACTGGCGATGGCCCACAACCTGGGCATGTACCCTGATGGGGAATCAAACTGGGGACCTCTCAGTCCATGGGACAATGCTCAATCCACTGAGCCATGCCAGCTGGACTCCTTTTTCCCTTTTTCTTTTTGACATGCTACTCTCAGATTTAGGTCTCTTGCATTTCAGCAATAAATATTAAACACTGGTTCCTAATTTGTCTCTTCCTTCACAAAAGTATTCCAGTCAGTCCAGGGGAGAAAACATTTTCAGTTTAAAAGAGGAAATGCATACTCCAGCTGTCTACCACCACTGGTGGTTTTCTAGAAGCAAAGAATCTAAACTCAACAATCATGTGTACCATATCTGTGGGTTGGAGTTGGGTTACACTGGCCTTAAAAGAATTGCCTTGCCCTGGCCGGTTTGGCTCAGTGGTTAGAGCGTCGGCCTGCGGTCCCGAGAGACCCGGGTTCGGTTCCCGCTAAGGGCGCGTACCTCGGTTAAAGTTTGTCCCCGGCTCTGGTCAGTCGTGCGGGTGCAGCCGCTCGATGTGTCCCTTCACATCGATGTTTCTCTCTCTCTCTGTTCCTCTCTCCCCCTCCTACTCTACCTGAACAAAAAATGGAAAAATGTCCTCGGGTGAGGATAAAAAAGAATTGCCTTGCTAAATTTTCAAGAAATTTCAAAACTTTAAAAATTCTGCATTAAGTTGGACAGAGCTCTTTGCTACAC